AGAAGGATGAGTATGAGCATAGAGGATGAGTCACTTGGTTCATGTGCTTTGCGTGTTCGGTCCCCTTCATGTCTGCCTGTCCATGTGACAACATGCTTCATTTATTTTCGCCTTATAGCAGAGAGTTGCTCTTCACAGAGACATGAAAAATACTCAAGTGCACTGAAGAGACGCTGGTAATCAAGAGATATACTGTATAGAAGGGCAGTGGCACAAAATCCATGTGAAATGTAGCCTTTCATGTTGGCGAAATCATTTTTCTCTGAGATTTCCATAGAGATAATAGATAAATATATATTACTCCTTATTGGTTTATTTTAGATCATCTAAGTGGAGCAAATCACTGCAGGTGCATTTGTAGTCACATTTAAATTGTTTCCTTGGTTCAGCCACAACCTTTGTTTGACTTCTAATTCCGTCAATTTGCTTCTAATAATTCAGTCCAACTTAGAACCTGGTCTCACAAAAACAGACGTGATGCAGTACTCTCTGGGGATTATTGATTAAATGACATATTGATGGAAGAATGCAGGCCCAAAGCTGGAAATTGATTCTGTTTCTAGGGAGAAGAAGACAGGCCATGAGGAGATTTTGTAACTCATAATAGCGTTCCAGAGGTCAAAAGAAGATTTAGAATAGTATGGTACCATAATCTGTTACGGGCTATATTGCTCATAATGCCAGAATTTTGCCTTTTTTATCCTTATGAGGGACTTTTGACTCTGATACCCAAACTACAGAACAACAGTCTCATCTGTAACCCCTCGGAGAAGCAAGGACCATAAAAACACCCTCAATTAAAATGTCGTATACATACTAACAATACGAGAAGTGTGGAATACAAGTTTAAACTCAGATTGACCCCACCAACATTGTGAGAAGTGGCATTTTTCTCAGCCTCAGCTCTCTCTCGCAAACTTGAGGATTTCTCTTTTCACAAGGGAGCACTCAAAATATGTATTTCTTCTACTTTATGACAGAGACATGAAGGCAAGACAGAGAGAGAGCAGACACCACTGAGTTTGTGCTTTGCTTGATACGTATGATAATACAGTCTGAACATATGCAGTGTAGCAATTTGATACTGAATATATAGCAGTGTGTATGCAAGTATTCCAATAACCACCAGCTGTACTCGTCTGACATTTATTGCAATGTCATTATGAGCATATTTGGCTGTCAGGTGAAGATATGCTGCATATTATAAATAAAGTCTAATTTGTGGTCCTATAATCGACCAAGGGAGTTGGAAAAGCATGCTGGGATTAATTCCAGTATTATTACCTGATTCAAAATTAGCTGAGGTACAAAAGCAGGTACTTTCTACAAAACTGGGTCTTTTAGCAACAACAGATTTAATATTAGGTCTTGGCTTATTGATGAGAGGTATTTGAAAAGTAGTTCTGAAATTTAAGTAAGTTTGAAAAGAAAATATTTATAGAAATTGACATTCTTGCCAACAATATTGTGGACACAGGCAATACCTTATATGAAAGAGGTCAACTTAAGACCTTGAAACTAAGAAGTATATAAAGGTAATCTCTATCCTTGAGGGTGGACTTAATCTTAGAAATACCCAGATTGCATAGATTGCAACAGCTACACAGATAACCATGAAGTTGAAACAACACCACAGCAAGCTTTGTGCTTTGAATGCATAATTGCATTCTTGGGATCTTGATTTTACATCATCTCAGATGAATAGTTTAGAGCTTCTCCGTCTTTTTCTTCTTCCCTCCCCTGTATCTCACTGCTCACTGCCTCTGATCAGTCCTGACAGCTGTCCTTCCCCAACCTTGCCCTACAAACAAACACACACACCCACACACAAAAATCAAACATTGCTGAGCAAGTGCAGCACCATGGGGCCTATCTCACAAAGCAGGATTACAAATTTAGCTGGTGAACTGCATCTGAGTGCAGTTCACCAGCTAAATGCATCTCTCTTTACTTCAGCCCGTGTTCCAGATCTGCTTTGACATGTTTAAAGGTTTTATTCAGCAACGATTAGTTATCCTGCTGTATGAGACTGGTTTCAGGAATCTACTAACGACTGTGTAAAACAGCATATGGAGCATAATGTTTGAGTCTGTTTTATGTTGCACGGCTATGACAGGTTAAGAGAGTTGTGGAAAAGTCAAGAGCATCCAAAGCAAATGAGTTGGTAGGGATAATAAAATATCAACACACAGGCGGGAGGGAGAGAAGTGCTCCTCTGACAGACCGTTGCTGTTGCAATGACAGACAATTTATCTTGAAAGCAACAACTGACCTCATCCCAATAAAACAACGTTAAAACAGAGGCATTAGGTAAGTGTTTTCTGTCTGCCAAAGCTTCCGCCTTCACTCTTGGCTGCCATTTCTGAGAGTTTGATGTTCTTTCATGGTGCCAACTTCCATGCGCAGTCTTTTCTGAGCTGCAGAGACACAATTTAGGTAAACAAGATAGCTCCTATTGTGTGTCCCATTTTGTTTCACTATACACTCCCTGGGTAGAGAAAGAATAAATCAAAAGGTCCCATCAGTAGCCACATATCATATTTATATTTAGCGATTTTCCGAATGAATTCCTAGTCAATGAGTCTTTAATTGTTTTCAGTTTTATGCAGTGCGCAAGATGCTGCTGTCTCTTACTGTTCAGCTGAGTTTAATGCAGTGAAAGATTTTTAAAAATAAGTCAGATGACCATTTAACTTCACACTGACCATGTAGTGTGATTTGTTAGCATACAGTCATTTATGGTTGGATGTGATTTTGCTGTGATTTGTGTGGCAAAACAATTTCAGCTACCACTCCAATCAGAATCATATATTTATTACGATTAAATGCAGTTTCAGTTTTAATAGTTACAACATATGGCCTAAGCAAGTCTCACACCAAGGAAAATTTGATTTTGCCAGTGAAATATGTTTTCATTGAGTCATCCTTTCTGTTTATAGACTTGTACTAAATCCTTTCTGTTGGCAACCTTTCTATAAGAGCAATCCTTTTCAAAACAGCTCAAAAACTTTGGCAAAATCATCCATATCAAGTATGCTGGAGGCTCACAGTACTTGGAATGAATGTGGTTTTTGGTTATTTATGGTGTGCCATTCAAATAGCAGTAACAGTAAACAATATCTGCCAGATATGGCTTGTCTGAAGCCCAACTCAATAGCTTCTTTAGATCTCTCAACAGAGAACAGCTTGTTTTCTCTCATCTCTCTGTCTTTCTCTCCAAACCTCTAATCCTGCTCCATTGTCTCTCAGTGCTGGTTTATGGAGGGTATAAGGACGTGTGCAGAGTTGCAAAGCAGACATGGTAATTAGAAACTCCCCATTAACCACCAGTGTTAAAAATCACAATTAGTTCACTCTTCCAGTTTAACCCTTTCCTTTAGTCGAGTCAAACATACGTCTTCGTTTGGCCTTGTGGATGTCACGTAGTTTGCTGTAAATTCTTATAAATGTATACATGACTAATAACATGCACTACATTCAAACACTCACTGGGAAAACAGGACTGGATTATGTGATGTTTGAACATTGCTTTCACTGACTTTGCCTAATCCCCCAATGAATGCAGGGGTATCATTTTCATCTCATCTCCGGGCCCCCAGCTGTTGTCATCACCGTTATTACAACTTTTGCACTGATAATTATAGTTGAATCACAGCAAAGAATCACAAGTCGAAAGTCTCATAGCACTGGTCACAATCCTTGTGTTCTACTGGAACAGTCTTTCTTACAAAGTGAATTTATGACATTTCATTGGTTGAGATCTAGTTCTTTCAATCTATTATAACTATTACCACCAGTATCTATGCCTTCGATCATGCGGACAGATTGAGTATGTCATTCCTCGAACCCGCATAGTCTTTCATCAACTTGATTATAAAGTTTTTGCTCCATCATCTTGGTTTGAGCTATAGAGTCACTTTAAACTAGATTATTTTATAAGCATTGAAGATTTTAAAAGCAGGATTAAGAACTTTTAACCGAATGTACATGTCACTGATCATCACTGCTAATTCATTGATCGAGGTCATTTGTTTTAAGTCTTTTGCCTGTTTCTTTTTTTGTGACATGTCTTGGAATATCCTGGTAAAATAATGGTTGAATAAATAAATAATAGATACAATATAAAAAAATTAAATAAACCGGTTACGCAAAACAAAAAGCACTGTATGACTTAGCACACAACATCAAGTCAAGCATCTAATCACATTACTCACAGAATGCTTTTGGCACACATTTTGGTGCAAATATTTACTATTTTTTTCTTTTCATTACTTTTTATTTATAACTATTATTTTCATATTTTAAGTTTCCACTTTTATGTTATGTTTTCATCAATGTATTTTGAATGTTTTCAATAAAGAAAACCGTAATGTATGGAGCTCCTAAAGGTGATGATTTCAATCTTGTGCGCAAAAGACAAGTTGGTAATCTTGTGGCAACAGGTTGTTAAGTAGGTTCAAGTGAGTGCACAAGATAAAAAGAACATCACCGTAAGTCCCTTAAGGGGCGCTGTAGTTTATTCGCTCATGACACAACTAGCGTATTGTAACTGTAACTCGCTTCCTTCTACCTGCCTCCGGTGAGGACGTTCTGTGTAGTGCTTGTCAAACGGGTTTTCTCTCTCCAAGCCTCTGCGTGTCTCTACCGTTCTCACACACGCAGGAGACTAACGTTGCAAGCAGGAAGTAGAAAAAAAAAAAAGGCAGACAAGCAGCTCATGAAAACACGGAAGTAAACGCTGTCGGATCGAAGTTGGAGCCCCCTTTTTCTGCTGTAAAGTGAAAGTAGATCAGTCGAGAGCTCAGCAATAGAACTCAAGGCACAACGACTGTGCTAGGGAAGTTAGCCGTCAAGCTAATTCCTCCACTGGCTCAACATTATCTCAACACAAGCCCTAGACAGAAAAACAGGGGTAGGGGTGGGGGGGGGGGGGGGGGAGACACAGAGAAATAAACACACTGCGAGCGCCACAGTGTGTGTGTGTGTGTGTGTGTGTGTGTGTGTGTGTGTGTGTGTGTGTGTGTGTGTGTGTGTGTGGAAGGCATTTTATGAATGTGTGAGACAAAGAAATAGAGAGCTGTGGGGAAAGAGAGGGTGTTGCACTACAGCACTTTTTTCTACCGGTTGTTTGTGTCAGCAGTGAGGAAAGAGTACACAGACATAGCTTAGGAGAGGAAGGCTCCAAGGAGAAGGGGAGGGGGGGGGGGGGGTCTTTCTGTGTGTGTGTGTGTGTGTGTGTGTGTGTGTGTGTGTGTGTGTGTACAAGGCATTCACCATAGTCTCTTTTCTTTTTCAGCTTCACTCCTGCAGAGTGAGGCGAAAGGAGGTTGAGGGTGCATAAAGACAAAAAAACGAAATAAAACATGTAAAGGTCAGAGCGTGATGACTTGCAGAGGGAGGTGAGATAAAAAAGAGCAGGGGGGCGTTGGGGTCGTGCCGAGAGTACAGCCGTACTCGGCACTTTCTGTTTGTGAGTCAGTAAACAAAAGTGAGTCTGTTTGCACACAAAGACAGTTCAGTGACTGCAGATATAGGGTCTTCTTGTTTATTGTCCTTGCAGAATGATGTGTTTTTTCGTGTGTAGCTCGTGTTGCTCTGCATGTTTCCTGTGGACTGTGCCTCCCTCTGTACATCATCTGTTGCGGGAGTATTATATCAGAGGGTATTAGTCCTGAGGATCTTGGACTTTCCCCTGTGCAAATATGACAGCTGTTCACAGAAGGTCACAGCTATTAATAACCTGTCTTCTACTCTGTGTGTCTCCTATAAGACTTATCCCTCGTATCCCCAGAATTCCTATCAGCCACCATGGACCACAGAGGGGAACCCCAGGAAGAACTCATGGGGCTGAAACACGAGGAGCTGCCGCAGATGGACGGATCATGTGACGCGTGCGAGCCTGACGAGGCCCAGCCGGCCACACAAGTGTGCCACACCTGCAGCTTTGCCTTCTGCGCTGTCCATGCTGACGGACATGGCAGCAGCACACGTCACCCCATAACGCCTTACCACCACGAGGGGACACAAGCTAATGGACTTGGCACCAACAGAGACTTCAGGGTCGGAGACGGAGCCGAGGACGAGGCTCTACTCGGATTGGCGATGGCTAATGGCGATAATGCTGGGGAAAGAGAGGGAGCCAAGAGTGGTGTGCACCAGGAGGCTGAGCCGGGTGATGGAGCCGAGGGTGCAGAAGCAGGGCAGGAGGCCTTGGCCGCTGGGGAGGCTGGGAAGAGGGACACCGTGACAGTAGAGAGACTGCGCTGCAAGGAGCATGGACAGGAAGCCTCGCTGTACTGTAAACCAGATGAGAAGATCATCTGCGTGGTGTGTGCCGTGCAGGGTGAGCACCGTGAGCATGAGATAATCACGCTGCATGAGGCCTACGTGTGGCAGAAGGTGAGTCACACACCCAGAACATGATGGGTTTATATATATATAATAGAACAGCACTGTGTGATTTAGCGTATGCTCTCTGCTGTGGTCAATCGCTTTAATGTATAACAATCTATTCAGTGTCATTTATCTGGTTTACATTTGAAAGTCAGTATTAAGTAGTATTTCAAAAGCTGTAGGTCCTGTAGTCTTTAAGTCCACTCACTAGTGCTCGGTGTGATATTTTAAACACAACAGTCTCTCATGATCACCCACATGACCTCATTAATATATTGATTTAATTGCACGACAACATAAATAATTCCTATGGAAATTCATGTCCATTTGGCTCGATGCCAATTCACCATTCCTGCATTTCCCGGATGGCTTTTTGCTTGGGGTTAATAGGTCAAGGGAGTCGGCACTCGTTCGGTGCAGCAATGCAGGTGGTTGGTCCAGTTAGCCGGGTTTATGCCGTTCCGGATTTTGGGAATAACTCCATCATCACCACGGGCTCAGTCCTGCCGAGCATAGTGTTTTGTGATGATTATAGAATCATTTAGAGTCAGATGCTATCAGCACACTGAACACACTCGGACTATGTTATCGCACAGAGGACCGATTAACAGGTTCGATAGTATCAGAAAGCAGGACTCACTTTTGGATTCGTATTCAAGGGTTTTGTTTTTTGAACACTAAAATGAACTGAATCACAGGGCCGGTGCATTTAGCTCCAGCAGTAATGACCCACATGGTGTGCTGACTGTAATTCAAAGAGCACGAGTCTTGTCCTCTACCCTGTGGCTGCACAAATGAAAAATAAAAGTAGAACACCACACTTCACTGGCTTACTCCCACATCATTGCCGCATATGGATTGATGAGAGACAAAGGGGGTCACACACACACACACACAGCCTCAGGCCAAATTATTTACTCTAAACCTACTCTAGTATTTATCCTGCTCAATGTGTCGGTGCATTCATGTGAAAGAACTCTTAATCTCCGGGAGTAGTGCTATGATTTCCTGTTGCTGTACATTGCATTAAGCATCTAGCATGTCAAACCTGATATGCATTGTAGCCTGTGATTGACTGGTGAGCTGTGAAGGATGTACCCTGCCTTTTCTTGTAAATATCTGAGGTACTGAGATGTTCAATTACAAATGTGGTAATATTTGTAATTGTCATTGTGCCCGGTCATATTTGTACAGAGGCTTGAGAACAAGTTCATTTGATGCTCTTCTAAATGATTGACAATAATGAACAAATAACAGAGACTCTCTTTGTAGTTACGCGCTGTGTTTACTGTGCGTTTCGTTTGCTCCACCTTAAGAGCAGAGAGGGTTATGACCTGCTGGGCTGCACACAAGAGATGTCTGAGAAGATCAAGACCAAGTGGACCAACCCCGAGGTGAGTGCAAACGCCTGCACACATCACACTGAGGCGAATCCTCACGCGAGTTATCCAGTAAGGGCCATTTTTAGAACCCCCCCCCCCCCTCCCCAAAGGATTTGCACTCAACCGTTCTCATTTAGAAATGAGCTCTTATCAAATGAAATGAGATTTTATCTGCAGCAATAAAAGTACACTTGACCTCCCTGCAAGACTGAACGGTTTCAGTCAGCCTGACAAATTAACACTGCAGACCCCGCAGCTGCATTTTTACATGTCAATACAATTCTATATTTCAGTTTCCCCAGTCAATGACTTTCCTAACTATCAATTCCAATTTCACTGGAATCACTGACAATCTGATTTGAAGGTGTGATTATTATTTTTGTTTTGTCTCAAAATAGCTAAATGAGTATTTTTTTGTATTAAATAAGTTATGTCTATAGCATCTGTTTATGGTTGAAGCTGGTTTTAAGGCAGGGGAAGCCATAAAAGAGCAAACAAAACAAATATAGCCATTACTCATTTCTAATTCAGTGGGTAGAGCAGTAAACACTGCAGAGGTATCGAGACGGCAGCGGTGGAAACACAGCAGTGAGATAAAGAGGGATTAGAAGAAGAAGAGATTATGTCATAAAGGCATTAGTTAGTAAACATGAGAGCCAATTATTTCCATCTGTATATGTATAATGCTGCCCCATTCACCGATAACAGGCTTTGGGTTTCTGCAGCTACAGTTGTACTTGAAGTGTACAAGTGATGCCATCATCGTGAGATCACCGAGTCATGTCATTGTCAGGCTTCAGCTGATGTCACTTTTTTTTGACTCGGCACTTCTGGGCCAGGTCAGAGGTTGGTTTTTTATAGCTCTATTTACTAATAGTCATCTATAGAATGGAGAGGAGTACAAAATACCCTGTAGCTGTTTTTATACCCTTGTTGGACTTGTGAAGTACAAAACTCCTCCTCTCTAGGACTTAGAGAGTGAATGTAGTGTATTATACACTGCTTAAATTTGTAAGGGGCTTTATCCCTCTGTATAAATAAATGACACGGACAAAATATTAAAGACACCTTTTAGCCCAATATAACACAAATACCCATTACACCCTCAGAGAGGTGTGAAACAAAGTCGAGCAATAATAGTGACTCGTTGAAATAATGATCATAACCCTATTTCAACATTGTTATGTAACCTTCACCAGGTTGCAGTCTGAAAAGTAAGGTGCCTTCTCTTGATATCAACAACACAAAAGCGGCAACGCTGTATTTTCACGTCAAGTCAACCTTGAAAACCTTTGCTGTATTTCCATTACGGCTGCCATAGCGGGGGCATGTTCTGCCAGCGAGAATAAAACCTGAGCGCGGACAGTTCAATGCGGTGCAGCGAGAGACGTAAACAGTGAGCGACAGCATCGGATCTCGGCTACTCACCGTCGACAGCGGCTGCACCTGCTGTCTCAACCACCCCTGCAACGCCTGTTCCTCCTCATGCCCTGCTTATGAAACTGTGTCCGAACGCACTGGAGAGCAGTGGCACTCGGGAGCATTGCTCAGTACCTGCAGAGATGTGACCGAAGCACAGTGGCATAATGTAGAAGGTTAATTTGACTGGCCTGCAAGAGGCAACACTTTTTTTTTTTTTTTTTTTTTTTTTGCTGGCAGCCGGGACCCAATCCAAGTTCATGTTTATTATCGTCCTGAAATATCAGTGCTGCCCCAAGGACTTCCTGGACATTTAGTCTTGTGCCGTTCTGCTGTAGAGGTGCAGTGCGCTCGGCGAAAAAAAAAAAACCCCACTTACCTGCTCACTCACAGGCCGCTGTGTGAGAGGCCATTATGCGGATTTGTCAGCGTGTCCTCTCTGCACACTCAAATGTCAACGTTTCTCATTATGCATGACAGACAGACGTCATCAGAGTGACTGCTCCCGGTGAGGAAAGTTGTGTCTATGCGTGAGTGAGGGAGACGGAGGCAAAAAAAAAAAATGAAAAGAGAACAAGATGAGACGAAAGTTGGAGGAGGTTGAGTTGCGCGGTGTCTGTCGTCCCATTTATTTCATGTGGCGTGAGCACGATAAACCTTGCTCATGTGCTAATGATATCATTTCACATTCCCATATGTTAATTGCCGCTCGCAAAATAGAAGTCCTAGCGCACCAAATCAACAACCGAGAGTTGGACAGGAAACTGCGAGCGAGAAAACACAACATGGGGAGAAGCAGAGAATGGCACATGCGTGCAAATAACTTAACCGGCAAGCGCACAGCAGCTAACACGCACGAGAGAGTGTGTGTCCGGAGCTGACCCTGCTCTCAAAGTTGAGTTCGTGCTTGTGCGGGAACCGAGGGAGGCGCTGGCCCTCTTCTGATTGGTCACTTTCAACGCCATCACACCCACGCAACCTGCAGTCTGTCGCTGCTGCACAAATACAATGTGCATTGAACGGACAAGGTTGCATGTTATTGTATTGATAATGACATCTATTCATTCATAAACGAGACCGTTTAGAATCCAGTTAAGGATGTCAAGACACTTACGATGAGTTAAGTCCACTGCTGCAGGCTGCACAGTTGCTATCACACAGTACTGTAATGTAATAGTGCAATACAATAATATAATAAAAAAGAAATTTGCTACGTATGACAAGCATTGATGCAATAGGTGTTAAAGTCCTAAAGGACTTCAGAGAGGAAGAGGTGTGAGCTGCTGACTGTGCGGAGGTATTTAACCCTTAGCTGGTGTTTGCCTATTAAGACTAGCCTGTGTAATTATGTACTTTGCTGCAGGTGTGGGGATTTTAATCTTCCCAAGCTCACATCTCCGTTCTCCACGGGGAAATGGAATATAATGCAAAAACACAGCGATGAGGCTGCATACATATTAATGTGGGGGCCAGAGGCGTAACATAAAACATGAGGGGCCTATACTGCTGTCAGTCACTCGGCCACGTCGGCATGCGTTACTTATGGTCAAAGAGCCGGACAGGATTTGTGAAGCATGTTGCGGCGTCAGTGCGGGACAGTGTGTTGTCAGCATGTTTGTCTCGCTCTCTTGTTTTATTCACTCACTTTCTGCTGGGCAGGTGTCGTCTATAGGACGCATGCCGCCTGTAGAGCCGCTCTCTGCTGTTACAGAGAGAGGAGTCTGCTGTCTGGAGGCGAGCACGGCAACATCAGCCCAGTCACAAATGATGTGTGTGCAGTAGCTACATCCATTTTTCCCCACCTCACAAAATGTACAAGAGCAGCAGACACATTAAAGCTGTCTTAGGGAGCCGGGGCCGAGGAACAGACGGGAGCGGCATGAAAAGACTCGGCTGCTTTCGGGTTATTTTCATCCTTTTTTTTTTGTGTTCATTTCTACCTCATCCTTTTGTTCCTCCTCCCCCTCTTCCTCTCTTTACACCCTCTCCCATTGCTCTTTGAGGCTGTCATTCCCCTTCTATCTCTACTCACAGCAGTTTAATTGAATTACTCCGAATCATTCCCCAGAAAGTTGCTTGGCTGACATTGCCTCACTCAAAGCCAATATTGAAACTCTACTATTATAAAACCAACGGCCTTCTGTCTTATTTTTCCCTCTCTCCCTCTTTTAACTTCTCTTCCATCCCCACTTTATATGACTTTTGAAGAGCTGATGTTTTTCAAATGAACTTGTATTGCTGTGTTGTGTTAGAGGTTTAATTGGAGAATCTGATTTCTGGAGGAGATAAAAGGGAGCGTGAGAGAGTAGTGTTCACTTGGAACAGGGCCACTATTGCCAAGGGCAGGGACAGTTCAAATCCATTTACTCCTAATGTTCTGTTAATGCTTCTTAAGCCTCTTTTAAAAAGCATCACACAAAACAGACCCCAGTAAAGCACCAGGACGGGCACTGATTTCAAAGCAAGTTAACCGTTTGAACTCTAGTGCTCCCAAAATTCCCCTTAAGGAGCATCAAAGTCTCTCTATGGCAATTTCAAAGAACGTATTCTGCGTCTGCATATTTCATTACCTCATTGAAGATGCTTCAATTTTAGGGAAATAAGATGACATTTTGTCTGTTGAAACTTTGGGAATAAAAGATCAATTAAAATGCCTTTGTCCACACAAAAAAAAGCATTTGTAGTGATGGACCCACTGATGCGTCTGTGCAGTTGAAGAGGTTAACGTTAAAAGCCCCGATGCTACTTTGATATTTGTTGTGAGCGGTTTTTCAGTTTACTTTTGTTTTCCATTCTAGCGTGTCCTGATGTCTCACCAAAGTAATGCGGCACTGTTTTTCTTCCAACACTGCTATATTTTCATTCCCGGGGGCTTTGTTTCTCTTTGTGCAGTTGTTTTCATCAGCACTAATGACTAGCACAACCTTCTTTTTTTTTTTTAATAGCCAGTTACCGAGTACACTTGCGTGTGAAGTTAATTCTATTTGTGTGTCTCGCCTATTTGTAATCATGTAAAGTGTTAGTGGAAAGCTTTCTGTTTCTGATGAAACATTTTCACTCGCAAGGAGTTGTTTTTTATTCTGAATTTCAACTTTGGGCCCACCTTTCACATCCCCCACATATTGTTCATACAGTAATGAAATCAACCATGGTCGTTGATACGCATGACTGCAGATTACATCGCATATGTATGAAGTCTGAACCGACATAGGTCTTTTTAGCATTCGCGTGCAGCACCATGATTCCTGAATTTCTCAGTTTTCCAGTGATAATACAAGGCATGTTAGAAACATGACTGAAGATGAATTTGGCTTCCGTAATCTGCTCGGCTAACGTCGTACCTTTGCTTGAAAAAGAAATGAGCTTTCTTAATCTGCTCGCCTGATGTCGTACCTCTGCCTGTGCTCTCCCTCCCTCTCCTATCCCCCCCCGTCCTTACTCCAACTCTGCCCTTGTAAGCAGCGTGCCGCTGTCTCTCCCGAGGCCTCATTTCATTGCCTCCGCTTGCAGCTATGCAAATGAAGATTAGCACGCATGAATGCTGCTTCCTTGCAAGCTGGACAAATTCTCAGAGAAACTCCGTCACTGAGGGAAAGGTCCGAGGGCCATAGGGCTCCCGCTCCAGATAAACAAAGAGCACTGATCCAGGATCACGCCTCCCATCTGCCACAGGGACTCGATGGTGGGACAGGGGGCTCGTTGGAGGCCCTGGGCATAGCAAGATGTGATGAAGGAATGTGTCCGTTTGATAAGATACTAAAGACGACACGTTTTGTGTTACGAACCATTCTGTCCGCCCTATTCATGTCTCATAGCTTTGTTCTTGGCTAGCATTGTTCTTTGTGATTAATTCTAACTGCTTTCTCTCCATTCTCTGAAACCTGGTGTGACCACAAAAGAGTATGTAGATTATAAATGGATACATACTGAATGACTTATATTTGTAGGTAAAATGATGTCATGTTATGTTAAAGGAAACTGGAGACATTCGTGAGTGAAGATCAGTTGTCGCAAATGTTTCCCCACTATTACATTTTTGCTGCATAAGTAGAGAAGAGTCAGCGCTGTGAACTGACTCAAGTTTGTCAATAACAATGCAATATATACCGCATGTAACTTTTTCGAACATAAGAAAACATGGTGTGTAACATAAGCTAGCGTTAGCTAATTTCAGCCATAAGCTACTGGTCAGGAATTCAGCTTTTTTATTTGAAAGAGTGTATCATTTCATACTTTGAAAGTGACTGTGTCTCGCTGTAAGTCATTGAGAGACTTGCAATTTAAAAGAAATAGCCCAAATTTAACTAATCAGTATTCACAAAGGTAGCTGAATGCTAAAGCTACGCCTGACATGGAAGTAACTAATGGACCAATTACTGCTGGCTGCTATTGAATTCATGCTGCTGATATAGTACAACAAATTTACAGGCACGTTACACTTGGCAAACTGATTATGAATGAAAATGCCCTGCAGATGTTGAAGCCTTAAAAAATGAATATTTGAAAGGGTAATTCAGATTTGCAGGGACTTGAATATTGAATACGTTGATCCATCACGGTGTCCATGACACCTCAATCAGAGGCGTCTTAGAGCAAGGCGTCTGCAGCATCAAAACATGAGCAACAGCTTAAGCATTGATTTATTATCTCCCTACCAAATGAGGTAGTAAATGCCTTGTCATTTCTAAATGTGTTTTTTAAGTGTTAACTGCGTACGTTTGAATCGATGAGTGTTCTGGAAGATTTAATCAGTCTATATTGTAATTAAATACTTTATCATGTTTGGGCTCTTCCTACTACTACTACTACTTGCTCTATGTGTTAAAGTAAAGAAATTCCGGCATAGGATAGTAGATTTGGAAAAAAGCGATGCTTCATTCTCGCCAATCTTTCACATTCACAATTCACTTCAGTATCTATACAAGGAATGGAACATGTTGCCAGTCGAAGGCAGTTGTAGTCTATTGTTCTTAATTCATCAGAGATGTATTAGGGTATTGATTTTGGTAAAACAAAGAAAATAGAAAATACAGAACTCTTGCGTTCCAATTAGATGTTAACTAAGTCTCTCTGATGCAGAGTGAACAAAGTGCACATTTTTCTCTGCTCATACAAAGAAAGTAAATTAAAAATGTTACCTCTTGCGCTTGGTTTAATGGCCAATTTGGAGAATCTGATTGCTTGTGCAGAAATTGCATGTACTGTACATGATAAAACTGTGGGCCCCTAGGGGCCGTGACTGCCAACCTCAGTAAAGACTGATGATTCCTTGCTTCGCTGGAGAGAGGGAGGCTGAGGGGGAACAAGATAAAATAGATGGAAAGGAAGAGAGTTAAGTCCTGCTCAAGGGAAGAGGAGAGACCGAGCAGCTGATGTTCATAGATTGAAGCGATTATAACATATTCAGGAGCAGAGATCATGACAAGAGGCTTCGGGGTGTTTTACCTCATGGCAGCATCTGTGTTGGAGGTGGAGCCATCTCGGTGGCAATGATTGTAGGAAGGCAAATTGTTTATTTAGGTGTTTCAACGTAATGAGTCATAGCTAAAGAGAGCTCCATCGGGGAACAGGGAAAAGGATTAGAACGGGTATCTCAGTGAGCAGTTTAAAAGCCAAACAGATGGCTCGCTGTGGTAGAAGGAGCCTCTGAGGTCTCTATCTACAGATGGGATGCATGGAGTGTTCCTCAAGGGGATCTGCTTCATGCTATCAATTGGCTACTGCATGGCAAAGACCAGTGGGCTTATTAAAGTAGTATTCACGTGTCAAAGTCAAAGATCAATCAATATGTATTTCTCTATTTTGCATCCTGGCCATACAATTTTACTGTCACCTGTCACCTCATCTCTATGTTTACTTGTTTTTGAGTTTATTGTCTGTCTCCGCTTCTCAGTTTTCTGAGCTCATCTCAAGATTTCATACCTACACTCATCTATCATTCCTTCCCTCACGCTCTCCATCTCCTGTACCTCATGTCCATATCTTAGATGTCAACAGAGGAGCTGGAGGCCTATGTGAACAGTCAGTTTGATGAGCTCCGCAAACTGGTGCGTCTGGAGGAGAAGAGGACCCTTCACCTGGTAGACCTCAAAGAGGCGTTTCTGACGGCATCCGCTGCTGAGAAAATCGCCGAGATCTCCGTCCAAACCGAGCGGCTGCAGGAAGAGATGGCCAACATCACACACCAGCTGTGCCTGCTGGAACAGGCTGAGGCGTTGGGTCCTGTGATGGCAGCAGAGGCCCTCAGAGCGGCACCAGCTCACAGAGTGCCGGTGAGAAGGACCTTTTTATCTTAGTTATCCTTATTTTGCTTCTAACACTGCTTTTGTACAATCGGCAGAGTGTATCTCACTCGCTGCACAGTTACAGTAAGTGTAGGTGAGGCTAACGCATAATGTCACAGAAGCCCAGTGTGACTAACATGCAGCTTGCCATGCTTTATATAGGGTGATGTTTAAAGCTTGAATGCTTCGGCTACTGCGAAACAAACCATTTCACCTTCATATCTTCAGACTGTCGCTTTACATAACTACAGTCTCAGACAGTACACAAGTCTGATGTAGTCAAAAGTGTCAGTCTTTTGCCAAATATGGCCCCTTGAATCTGCAAGGAAGTCAATGGGGGTTGTTCAGGCCAGTTACAATCTGTGTTTAAGGTTGGCTTCTAAAACTTTAAACCGGATCCACTGGATTCAGAGGTGGAAGTTGGTTTAGAACTGGGCAGCAAGTAACAGCAGTCTTATGCCCCGGGCTCCGACTACAGGTTTTTTTTTTTACCGATCTAACCCCAGTTCACCCCTCCCGCCAATTGGAAGAGAAATCCGGTCCAGGACCTTGGTAGGTATTGATGTTTGGCCCAAATTATCTAGTAATGTGAGGGGTTTACGGATCCAGTCCTAAAGCTCCCAACCGGCTCGGGGCCGCCCTGATAATTTCTAACATGTTTGATTTTTAGGAGTCAAAATCTGGATGATAATGCCAGTACTTTGAGCGGGACCATAATAGCCAATGAGAGAGACAAGCCGGAGCACATGACGGTGATTCCAAGCAACAGTAAACGTTCTAGTCCTTGAGGCTAACGTTAGCTAGCATACTACTGTTGACAGATGTTAAAATCTCACCTCCAGTTCTCGCTGAAGATTAGACAATCCGTGTTGGCCGCGTCTTCCGAGTCATTTTCTCGCCCGGACTCGTTTAGCTTTCTGCTTTTGTTTTTTCTCACTGCAAAGCATTTTTACAGGAAGATGTAGCGCCACTTTACTCTCCCTTTACATCTCCTTCCCCATGATGAGATCACGTGAGGCGCTGTGTTGCTTCCTCCTATTTTCAAATCTTGTAGTATGTGCGTGTTTAAGACTAGAGAAAAGAAAGTCTGTGAAGATTCTCCTTATGTGTGTAATGCAACCCGATATTAAAACTCCTGTAGTCTAAACCCGGCCTGAGCCTGTTGTGATCAAAGCTGCGTCACATGACGAGGTCTGCTGAGGGCACAAGCAAATGGGGTCAATGATTAATTAACACAAACTTTAAACACAGAGGTCCGGTGCCAAAGTTGTTACTAAGGTCAGCCCTGTAAAACAGAGATCTATTGCCTTGTCAATAAACAATTACAAACCGTTTGCCAGCCAGCAGAAAGCCGTTGCTGATCACGAGTATGCAACAGTGCATGCTGTACATAGTTATCATTTATCATTGCTATCATCGCATAGTCGGTGGCTCCTCGGCCTGTCTGAATTTGCTTGTGATGTGGCCTGGCTTACAAATGTTATTGCTGGTAATGACTCGGTGCCTTGCACAAAGACACCTGAGCAGGGTGGTTGCTTGCTTGCAGCCATGGAGGTTTGATCCCAGGGCTTCAACTTAAAGGATTATCTTTCTAATGACTGTGGCATCTGCTGCGTAGTCATTATGGAAAAAACGGATACGGTAAACAGGTGCTACCATACACAGTTCTGTTCCAAATGAAAGGAGAGACCGACTGTATTTATCCAGGCGAGTATTATGTTCATGTGGAGAAATGCAGTTTTCCTTTTCATACTGCCAGCTGTGTCGGTGTGATGCAGCTGGTTAGAGGAAAATAAATCCTGGGCCGTAGACTGATGAGGTATGAATGTTACAGTGTACAGCAGGGTACACTGTTTTTAAATACCTTGCCCCTTCGTCAAAGAAAGGTTCTTATAGAATACATATATTTTCACGCACGTTAATGCAGTCAGAAGTGCAAGCGATGCCAACGTATTTCCATCACTTCAGATTCTGCAGCACTCTCACTCTCTCATCTCTTGTTTGAACATTGAAGTGGGGGCTTTTACTGCATCTACATCCCAAATTAAAATATCTCAGCGGTCCATTTGTCACTCTCTATACTTAAGTCACCGCGTTCAGGAAAAGGAGGCTTTGAGTGTTCCCTGGCGATGCTCTACAGGACCAGGGAGGCTGCAGTAATGCTGCTGTGCAGATTGCTTTTACTAGCTGAGAAATGAATCCAATGGGGGGCCGAGTTCATTAAGGCCCTAATTGAATGCTGATTGTTACCCTGTTTGTTCTTGTGTGTTAGTTATGGCTGGAGTGGGCAGTGCTATTTGGAAATGTATGGTCACAGGAGAGGTATGAGCAGGTTTAGAGAGGGCGCTCATGCGGTGCTTATCCAGTGAGGATGTATCTTTTTAATGCTCCAAGTGAATTGGGCTGAGTTGTATGCGTAGTCAGAGATGTGAAGTGAATGGATCTGGGGGTACCAAAACAGTCATTGCATTTAAGTCCCCCTGAACTCACCGACACCTGCAGCCATTCTGTCCTCAGTAAAACATTTGTGATGTGCAGAGAGTCTCTTGTAAGCAGAGAACAACTGGCTCAAACATTAATCCTCCTACTTGCTCCCCTCACTCTATCACTGTTAGTCTGTCTGTCTCATGGTGGCATTGTCTACAGATGGTACACTGAACTACGATCATTCACTTGCCTCTTTACTGCAGTTCTGCTGAACTTTGCAGGGTGCTCCTTGTCTACGACACTGGAGCTGAAACAATACAGTTTTTATACTAATAGTTGTTTTGATTAAATTAGTTCAAAACCTCAAATTGGAAGTTTTGGAAGTGGTACCTTCATTCCAACTTTTTTTCCAAGAGAAGAAAAGACCAGCAGCTTCTGAGCCGAGTCCGAAAAAGCAATTGCAGCCATGCAACAGCAAGCCTGTGGAGTGGGGCAACTATGATGTAAAACGTTGCTCACCTTCATAAACCCCTTCCTTTAAACTGCCCCCCAAAGAATAAACCACATAATTGATGCGAGTCTTCGGGCTTGAGGTCAAACAAACAAATTACTGCTGGTTCACTTTAATAATCTCTCATCTATCTTTTAATGCAGGCGCAGGAACACACAGGTGTGGACACGCATACACACACACCAAGAAGAGGGTCAACGGGGATGAGAAAAACATTCAGAAAATTACCCAATCAGTGGGAGCCAGAGGGAGAATATATATAAGCAACTTTGTCTTCATTATCAAAATACTCGGTCTCCAAGTCTTCATTACAAAGTGCCAGTAGGTACTCATTTGTTCACTTGAGCATTCTCTGATGAATGTACAGTAATTAAAAGAAAACGTGTATATGTCACCGGGCAGGAAATGATCTTTCTGCCTGACTGGGACACAGTGCATAAAAAAAACAAAGACAAGCGACCTCATCAGCCAGGCATTGGGAGTCGGCACCAGAGACCCAACCCCGTCTCAGTCGTGACCCAGTTCACAGCAAAGCGCTTTGAGGCTGATTTAAAACCATGCAGCCGTTTACCGGTCAGCTCTACGTTTACCGGTCGGCTCTACGTTTACCCGTCGGCTCTACGTTTACCCGTCGGCTCTACGTTTACCCGTCGGCTCTACGTTTCAATAACATGAAGCTTATTGTTAAGAATCTTATTCCCATGCGGTTTTGTTCAATTTTGATATATAATACATGTTTGAGAATATTGAGTTTTTCTAAACTATTTGAAAACAATAAAAAGTGATGTTTTATCAGTAATTCATCATGTGGGCTGATTGGGAAGCCCGAACAGTTTTAAAGGTGCACCATATGAAGCCCTCAAACTTGATACTAATCTCATCATATACTGACTTTTTCTCTACATGTTTGATATAATGAATGAATGAATTGTATTTATTATCGATCATTGCAGTGTACAATACAAACAGATTAAGGCTTATTACATATAGCAATTTACCATAGTTTAATTTTGAACAGCAGTTTTTTTTTTAACAGATTTTTTGTATTTGTATTGGCAGCACACTTTTGAAACACAGCTAAGCTCCATTTCGAACAGATCAAGGGCACATCATTCCATGAAGTAGGTATTGTTTTTAAATTATTAAGGGAGCCGCTTCAGATTGCTTATTTGGATGGCAGACACACAAGTCTTGGTTGTTCTTACAGTGGCTTTGAGAGTTTGAGATTTGATGTATGCACATTAGAGACTGAACTGCCCCAGGCCATGTGAATAATGTAAAAAATGTTTAATCTGGTATTATTATGTGAAGGTATGATTTTTTATTTTTTATTTTTTTCCCCCTCATATTGTTGGAAAGGTAACTGCGGTAATAACAGTTGGAACAAAGCTTCATAGTCGTCAGTTTCTTTCTAACAGCATATTTCTTCCAATTTTGTGGGCAGTGGCACTAAAAAACTCTTTAATTGGACCAAATGGAAACAAAGCACACAGCTGGGACTGTAACAATTTTCCATTTATATTGTTGTGATGTACTGCAATCACATTCAACATTTACTTACATAGAATCTGGAAAACCAAGATTGAAACCAGAGAAATAGTAACAAAGTTAGTTCTGCTTTTATGGTTAAGAACACCATCTGACTCCATGTGATCACCAGGACTGATTGCCCTGTCAGGATTATTGAATTATTGATCATATCAGAGCAGACATCAAGACATTATTAGGACATCAACTCCGTAGTAGGATAACTTCATTTTTGATATCGGTCTCTTCAGGGGAATTGATTAAAAGATAATATAATGTGTTACACTTTAATACGTAAACATTTTCCCAAAGTGTAGCAGTTCCTCCCTTAAGGATAGTTTGAAGCTTTTGATTCATGATATCTCATGTACAGTCCACTTTATTGCCTCTCGGCCTGAGGGTGATCGACTAAAATGTAACAACCAAAAGTATTTTTACCCAGCAACATTATTAGTTTTTAAAGCAGGGATGGGATTTCTATATGTCTTCCTCTCTCTGGGTGCCTTAAAACCTGCTACTGTTAGCAATCCTCTCATGATAGGAGGTCAGTTAACCAACCAAGCAAACACAAAGAGAGGCAGCCTTACAGCAACCAGTGACGAGCTTCTCTGGAGAATGTCAGCTTTGCAGTCTGATTTCACAAATTAACTTTTTGAGTCTGTTGAAGTGTTTGACAAGGTAAACCAAGAGGAATCCCACTGAGTTCCAATATTTGAAAGTACCTTATTTGTCCAGATCTGAAGCTAATTAAATTTAAAGCCAAATCTTAGTCAGCGAGGCAAACAGCCAGCCAGCACTCTGCAGCCACCGCTCATCAGCTCTGCTCTCCTCCGCTGTGCTGCCAAGAAGCCAACGAGTTCACGACGCTGTAAATTACACCGTGTCAAAATCCCTTTCTGGCGCAGCCATCTTAGCGTCGGTAGTCAAGGTCCAGAGCTACAGTGCAGTCAGTGCCGGGCAAAATATAAAACACAACACAAGAGACCGTCTTGTGCTCAAGGTCCTCTTGACTGAAAATACACTAATTGAGATTATGAACGGCAGAATAAGTAGTTAGACTGTGTTACATGACAGCGATCTCAACTATAGTGCATGGACACTGTAGCAGTATGTGTGGCACACTGAACAAACCGGTGTTACTGGTAGGCCTGATGAAAAATCGCATTTACATCTTCTAGAGATTGACGGTATCGGAAATTTTCATTTTTTCATTTGGCACATGAATAAACGTGCAGTGCTGGTGTAAGCGTCGCATCCTGGCAGTAAACAAATCACGTCCGTCATTTTGACATGGAGAAATCTTTTAAGCTCCCATCACAGTTAAACGGGCTCATTTGGTGCTTTGTTCCAGACTGCTCCTTTTTCAAAAGCTCATGAATATACATGAGCACAAGTGGTGGATGAAAGTGAAAATTAATTGGTCAGATTAAGAGCCACACCAGATGCAGAACCTGGTTAATGTGAATTATGGTTTTTCTTTTTTATCTGTTTATTTTAATTATGTCAAATTCTCTCTCTCTCTCTCTCTCTCTCTCTCTCTCTCTCTCTCTCTCTCT